TTACAGACTGCCTGCAAGACAGCGTTTCACTGCAAATGCCATCATGGATGGTAGGAATGCATCAACTGCAGAGCAGGGTTATAGACTAACTATCCTATGTCTGGCAGCCCTGCAATACCATCCTATGCAGCACTACGTCATTTGTTTGTGCTTTTGGTCATCTTAACCAGATCTCATTTCTTCTTTCAAATGTTGGCATCTTCATTGGCTGACCTCTCACCACTCTAACTGTTGCCGGGCAGCCAAGCATGCTCCTTGTGTTGACAGTCAACCGTGAATTTGCATGTCCCAACACAAAACCCAAGATGTCACTGTCCTTTTTAGATAAAGCTGCACATTCAATTCTAAATGCAGAAGAGTTGTCAAAATGTAGATAAAAGGCCCCATCAAGACAAATGGAGCTATGGGATCACTCCTGAAAGCCATCCCAAAGCCAAGCCAAGGTGCCACTTCAGAAACACCTAAGAACAAGAAGACAGAAGAGAAGTTTTAGCAGTGCCTCCAGACTATGAAAATACCATGATGGTTCTCCCTGCTGACAAAAACTCTCATGTTTATGTCCTGTACCAAATTCACTACAGATCTACAGTGGCAAATCTCTAGATCTGCAGCCTGTGCCAACAACTTTATTTTGGTCATCTCAGTTCAGTACTCTTATCTGGTCTATGCAGGTGCTGCTAATTGATGGTGAGCAGTGTTCACCTAGGAAAACCCTAGGAACTAAAGACTAACAGCTGAAATTCATCCTTCTGTTCCTTCTCCATTAGGCATACTACAGTATTACCAACATTTCTCTAAAGCTGCAGTCAGATCATTTACCTGCATAATCTGGTTTGTTTAAATAAATGCCATAATAACAGCAACCACTATCCAAGTCCTACATGATGCCTGACATGAGTTTGGAAACACTAATGATGCAACGGATGAACAACAAGAGGAAAAATTCGGGAACTCTTCCAACCATAAATTTTCCATTATTCCTTTTTGTTCTTCCACTTTCCCCTACAAGTTAAGGCTGGGTTTCTTTAGAAAATGGTAAATCAGACAGACAACTACCAAACACTGAATTGCAGCTAAGCTGGACAGTTCACGCTGCCACACCCCTTTCAGAGTGACTGAATTCTGACCTTCACAATATTTCTGAAGCGTTCTGTATTTAAACCCTTAGTCGCCAAGGAAACTCAAAAGGGAGTGGTGAGTATTCAACATTTCTAAAACACAGACATCACAGACTTATGGGATCTCCACAAGAAGCTGGAAGGGGATACAAGGATGATGCTCTATGGGACACACTAACAGACTAGCTGAGGCAAAGCAGTTAGAAGGGAAAGAACAAGAGATTTCGAGGAAAGTCTCCTTTTAATGCCAACTTCTTCCTCCTCAAAATTACGTCAGCACTAGGGGCTGCCAGTATTTCAGCCACATCTAATATACAAGTGGACTGGGTCTTTTTGTGAATATACATGAAAGCATTATCGAATCTTTAAAAATATCAGAGAAAAAATGCTGCCTGAACTATAACAACCTACAATAAATATTTTTGTATGTGATTCTGCGCTTTATAAACAAAACACAGCATCAGCTCTACAAACTGTGTTCGCATATAAAGGAACATTTTTCTTCAGTCTACAAAAGTCAGCCTCCAATGACTGTATGTCAAATGGAAGTGTCAATTGCTTCCACAGAATGTTAAATTCTACAAGTTATATTCCAGTGGGACTTACTCAAAATCTGAAATTCCAGCATATATTTTTGGTTCAGGTTCTGGGTAACTACCACCAGAGTTTTAAAGACAGACCTCTTGTACACAGTCATCTAAAACTGCAAAGCGCTTCTACAAATCTCCTTTTCCCTGGCTTGCATTTGAGGAGACTGAAAGCTACAGAAAGGTCCAAAGAAACAAAACCAACATGAAACATTTAGCAGTAACCACCCAAATTTCCACAACAACAGCTTCACTGAGCTCATCTCATTGGTACTATAGCAGCAAACCAATGGTCCAGTAAATGTAGAGAGGCAACTGTTAAGACCTAATAAAAGTAAGATAGCTGGTTACAGAGCTGCTTGAAATAAACACACACCCCCCCGCCCCCAAACGTTTGATTGAAAAAAGAAAAGGGCTGTTTAGTTTAGCTCAGCTTTGCCATTTTCAGTAGCTGGGAGTGTGCCTGTGTAACTATGCGCAAGTAGCCTCTTCTCCCCAAACCTGCAATTTCACAGGATATCTGTACCTGAAAATCCTGTTTGGCTACTGCATATCAAAGGTTCCCCCTGGAAAAAAAAACATACGTTTTTGATTACAGTGATGATGCTGTAGAGGCACAAAGAGAAGCACTCACATGTCCAAAGCCAGCAACTTTTGAGCTGGGAAGAAGCTTCCAGATGTTACAGCCAAGATGAATTTTTGGTTTTTCTTGGTTTTTAAATGTGACCATCAAAACATGTGCTTACATGCACACTGAGAATGGAAGACAATACATGTTTTTACTCTCTCTTCACAGTGCTTCACTTACTGACAGACAGAAGTCTAGCTCGCAGAAACTCTGGACAACCTCTTCAGGTCTGAAATTCTCATAAAGCAGTAGCCAAAAGGTCAATATCCCAATAAAACAAAAATTCTCTGATGACTCCCCATTCCTTGCATCAGGGCCATCTACTGGAAAGCCATGTGTATGCTGTTTGTCCAGCTTCTCTCACTGGATTCTCAAGTATTATAGAGGTGTGACTACTTCACTATTTTAGTTTGGACGAGGAATGTGTTTGAGAGTGGATTCTCCCAATCCACTTCTTGTGCGATGGACTGCAGTATGGAACTGTCTCAAAGTGCCTGAACTGATGTCCGTTTAAACAGAACTAAAACTTTCATTTTGTGATGCATTTCACTGCAAACAGGCATTTGGTTCACAGCACCAAATTGGGGCTAGTTCAAAGTAAAACCCACTTCCCTGAATGAGGTACACAACCTGTCCTCAGCACCAGCAGTTTCCCTTGAACAATTTGTTGCTGCGTGCTACTTACTAACATAGATGCAACCTACAGGTGATTTCATCTAGGCTAATAACTGCGGCTTTCATACACCTGGCCAGCTGATCCGGGAAGGCTGGGCTGGCCTTTTGGGAACTTGCAGACAGAAGAGAAAAGAGGTAGCAGAAACCCACTTGTTACCCTCCAGTCCATCTCAACAGGGTAAAGGTGCCTGAACCTCCCTCTTGCTTCTCATTAAGCAAACCGTGTTTTTCAGCAAGATTTTACTTTAAATCTCTCCTATTAAAATCTTCTATTTATGCATTCATTCATCTCAGGATTTGTTATTGTAAATTGGTTAAAGAGTAAGAATAACCAAAACCAATTCAGATACAACTCAGTACAAATAACTCAGTGATAAAACACAGTGGTTAATGTCATGCCTTGCCTCAGCTTCTGCTCTCTGAGTTCCCAGCATTACTGCCTCACTTCCCCACACAAATTAGTAAGCAAGCTCCTATTTGGGCACGTCTCTCGACATATTTTGTATATCTTTACTGATATGTAAAATACTAACAAAACCCAGGCTTTCCCCCCCCCCTCAGTCATTGCCATCCATGACTATTTCACCTTGAACAACTGAGTTGTAGAGGCTCCTAATTAAAAAGAGAATATATAGCCAAGCTGTAACTCAATTAACAGTGTTTCTATTGAAGATTTACTTCCTAAGTCACCAGCCAATCTCTGTACACCATATAGAACCTCAGCTCTTTCAACTTTAAGAAATCTTTTAGACCTTTTTATTTTAAAATCTTAAGTATTTATTAGTTGGCACAGTAAAAATGTTCTAACATACCCTTAAAGCAGAGGTTTCTCAGAAATGCTGCAGCTCTACATTCAGGATGATGGGAAATTACAAACTGGAATTGTCTTGCAGCTCTGTGAGCTGATCTCTGAAGAAAGAGGTGCTTTGCCCTACTTTTCTCTTAAAGATATTTCTACTTGGGGAACCCAGAGCCAAACTGCTGCTTTTGTGTTCTCAGAAACACCTCTAGTGCACATAAAAGACTGTTTCATTATAGTAGCCTTCCAAAAAAGCAGGCTGTGATGTGAAACAGTATTTTAGATCATCAAATGTAAAGCAAATAAAGTTAAACTGTGGTGCCCCATACATACATATATATATATATGGCACAAACCCAAACAAACCCTCAGTTGTACCATCCATCTCTGATGGGATCTGGAGTTTTCCCTGTTCCTGCAGTATTTACTAATATTTTCGCTATTGGTTTGGCCCAAAATCTGTTAACCACATGAAGACAGCTAATAGCACCGATCTCCAGAGAGTTTGTCAGCAAAGGAAAGCAAATAGTTTTTGACTGGAGTCTAAAAGTTCTGTTTTGAATTGCAGAGGGCAGGACCTGTACAAAACAGCAAGCTCAGCTACCTCATCGGGCTTGGCTTGTTGTTAAATCTGAAGGTCGACATGAACCCGAAAGTAGATACTCATAAGAAATTAATTCAGAAAGGCATAAATGATTCAAGAGAAAAACCTTGGTAAGCTGCAATCTACATGGCCAGGAATTTCACTATGGAAAGCCCTACTCCTTACTAAGCACCTGTAATGTACCTTAGAAATGCAGGGAACACTGCCCTACTACATCTGCCCAGCCACGTAAAAGCCGTGTGAGCCAGACTGTATTTCGGCCCTCTCCCATCGAACTGGAGACATCTAAGCAGAGTGGGTGCAATTCAGGCCTGACGTACAGAAAAAGAAATGGAAGGACGAAGAATAAAAGCAATCAGCTCCAAAGGGAACATAAATGCTGAGTAACAGAGGGGTTTCACCACAGGACTGACTTAATTTCAAATGCTGAGCGCATATTCTTTGGTCATCGCCCAGACCCCCACAGGAGAAGGTGGGGAGTGACTGGCATACAGAAAACGGCGCATTTCAACTGCTCGGCATTTTGTGATAATCTGCATTTATCTGAAAGCTGTCAACTGGTAACATTTTTCCTCCAGCATAAACTGACCTGTAGAAACACACTGAGCAGCAACGTAGTGTTCTCTGACAGGGGCATTGTGAGAACTCGGACATCAAAACCCAGCTCCGGCAGAAATCTGAACTTTCTCTTTGCTGCGTTGCTGGCATCCGGCCTGGGAGACAAGTGAGGGTCTGTCCCTTCAGCCCTGCCAGCAGCATCAATGGCTTCACGGAGATTCTTCCACAAGTGAAACTGCAGCATTTGAGCCTTCCCTTCCCAGTGATTCCCAGCTCTTCCCCGACACTAGTTCTGTATTAACTCTCCAATTCTTGATACAGTATCAAAGCATTCAAATTAATTTACAAAAAGGGTTATCAGGGGTAAATGCACTAGGACAAACAAGGGTTGTACCCTGCAGGATAACACCACCATTTATTCACCTCCCCAAATAATCTACCATCTTAGAAGTAGGACAGGCTTAAAAGTAAGACAGGCTTAATAAACTTCTAAATTTATTGGGCTTTAGACAATGTTAAAATGCCTGGTTATGAGGGCTCCTTAAAAGACCAAACCTCGATTTGTTTGACTAAAATGCAAGTCATTCCCTGAGGGATTAAAGATGCCCAAAGGTGCTCAACTTTGCTGGAAGCTGTGCAGATAAAGGAAAGAGGCACGTCAGTTCAGCCGGAAAAAAACATCCTCATAAAGAAGTGCGGTATACCCTAAAACAGATGCAAAAAAGCCAAGATCATCCTTTTAGAACACTATTAAAAAGGAAAAAAAGGAAGGGAGGATTTCTTGGGCTTCCTGATTTTCAGTCTCTCATTCCTTCTCATTCTCTTCCAGAAGGCAAATTAATTTTGTTTGTAGCTTCTGACCTAAACTAAGAAGTCGATTGTTACTCCCATGCGTTCTCCACTAGAGGTCTACCAGGCACTCCATTATTTGGAAAATGGTCGAAATAACAGCAAAACATCAGCAAGATCAGTTCTAACACAGCATATTCAACTATATGGGATTCTAAGAAAAATAAGTGGCATTTCCAATATTATTATAATTACTACTTCAGTATTGTTTTGTGGCACAAGCAAAGTAACCAAGCCTTGCTTCACTGAATAGCATAAAAACTTTCTCTTTTGATGCCTTGAGAGATTCCCAAACTGAAGAAAGCTCACAGGCAATTCTGACTCAGCAGTCCTTGGGAAAAATATCAAAACACACAACCTTCTTCTTGCTTTGCTATTGGGAATTTCAGAGTATCCATTGTGAATATACCCTAAGATCCAATCTTCAGAGCAGAAGAAATCCAAATGATCAGCTTCTCAGTCCAAGGTCCAAGATTAGCCAAGCCAGCTGGGGACAGCTACATTGGAAACCCACGCTTTTCTGCCAGTCCTGGTGGGCCATTCTCAGAGGTTCCTTGGGCTGCAGCGATAAACCCTGCTGGTCGCAGCTCCCCTCAGGAGGGAACTGGGCACATCCCCTTCCCACCTGCTGTCCTGCAGGCTGGAAGCAGTTGACCTGGGTTGATTGATCCATACCAGCAAAAACATTAGAGAAGAAACCTTGATTTAAATAACATAACCTCACTTTGCATTTTACCTCAGTTATTTTCTTTACTGGTTTCTTGTTGGTTAATAATCCTTTAGACAAAATAAGCTGAAGCTAAGCACAGCCTTTATATTATATATGGTACTCTCTTTTTGGAATTAGAAAGACACACTATGCATAAATTGCTTAATTAGCTGAGAATCTGAGGACACATTTACCCTGATTCTCTATTTATACAATTTATTACACTAAGAACTGTTTCTAATTTTCTACTTCAGCAATCAATTCTTTAATGCTGGTTTCTGTCAAGCTGCTTCTGAATAGAAACTTGGATTAGAAAGTGAAGTCAACTGTAGACTATGAACACTAAACTTGGGTTTTTTGGTTTGGTGTTTTTTTTTTTACTTAAACTAAAGCTGCATTAAATATGATGGAAACAAAATAAAATTACTCTTAACAACTATCACTGTACTATTATCCCCTACTAATGAATTAATGGTGTGCAAGTATGCCATAAATCAGTAAAAATCTGCATTTCTATTTTTTTATTTGCAGACTGAAAGCTTTGATGTTTTTCAATTCCAAAATTATTTCTTTACTTTTAGTAACAGCTATTGCAGTGAACTAAACTGAACATAGATTAAAATATCTCTGTGTATCTACAAAAGTGACTGTATTGTCTACCCACAACAGCGGAAAGCTAGTTTACACTTTCAACAAACTATGTTTTAGTTTTAAGGTGCTTAGTCAAACGTTTCTCTGAAGTCAGTTGTCTCACTTTGTATAAAACCATGCAGGAAAAACAGGTATAACTATTCTTCTTTATTTAAATAATTTTAGGAGACTAAAACAAATCAGTACTTAAGAATTCATTATCCACCGAGTCATCATTCAAGTGGTTTAGCCAGCATCTGTATGGCCAATGTGGGCAACACCAACCCACCTAAGACTCGTTCAGGGCTTTATCCTCCAGCCCAGAATGGGCCCCACGACTCGGCCTGGCAGCACCGTGAAGCTCATCCCCAAGGAGCCTGCCTGTAGGTATGAGACAAGCTGAGTAAAACAGCACATAAAAACCTGTAACGAAGACATATTAAAAGGTAACATTTACACAAACACTAGGGACCAATTTTATAGCATATGGGAGTAAGTTACTTCACTTGTAAGTACCTGCAGTCCTGGGGACTTGCATGGTGACACTAGGAACTCATGTTACTGGATAGGCGAGTTACTCATTTTTAAGTAATAGATGCAGGAAGACAGCTTTGTTTCAAAAGGGGCAGTTCCTGCCCCCCTCCCCCCCCATTCTGCAGTCATTCCCCGTTCCAGAACAGGCCACCATCTTGTAAAAACTGGAAAGGCTTGCATCTGTGTTGAAAGCCTACAGCAGTAATTCCTACATTTTTACAGATTTTGGCAGGCAGGAAAGCTTTCTCTCTTAACAAGCCTCATTTTGCATTTCTAAATACACTGCTTTACTTTCCTTCCCAAATTAGCACTGATGATCAATGGCCATTAAAAGAATAAAACTAAACACTTGTGAGGAACCAGCACTGCAATAATTAGTTCTGAAAGCCCAGAACACACTCCTAAAAGCAGAGTTAGAAGTGCATTTCTGCAAGAGCTTCTGTTAGTCTCTAAAAACGCAGCCAACTCTGTGTGCTACAAGTTCTGCCTTGTACCTGCTCCAAGACTAACTCCTCTCTGACTAGCTGCTTTGTCCAGCTGACAAGTGAACAACAAGAGGGGGAAACAGGCCACCCCTTGGTGGCATCCCTAAAGTGTTTATTCAACAGTATCATTAATTTTTGACAGCAGCCACCTGTGTAGGAGACTGGCACATTTGTAAGAGTGGGGATGGAAACAAGCCAGTATCGTTCCCCTGGATAACACAGCAAATCAGGCCTTACGTCACCCACGAGAGAGTGCCACAGTGATGACAGGAGAGGGAACTACTTGAACAAGCGCTCTACCTGGTAGCTCTTTAAACAGAGAAAAAAAAAGTCAAGTGGAAAGAGGAAAGGATACGTTTCTATTTTTCAGGGCATGGCTAAAATTAAGCAGGCTCCTTTTGAGACAGAATAAAGTAAATCCTTCTATCTAAGAATCTGAACAAAAGCAACACAGTCACACATCAAGTACTTCCCTCTTACGATCTTCCCAGGGTAGGTATTTCACCTGTTACTTATTCAGGGAGAGGGATGTATAACAGTGATTAAACAACTGATCGTTTACACCCAGCAAAACAGAAGGGAGAACCAGGTTTTATGCAGTCTGCCTAGTAGGCTAGGCTGCCTGTTAAACTTCAAGATTCCTCCAAGGAACCCTCAATTCTTGCCTGTCATACAGCTGTTTCACTCACTTGTCCTCTTCTACACTTTCTACTGTGCCTCATGACAAAATATCTTATACAGCTCATTTTAAATTCAGAATGACTGTTACTCTGGAAAAAAAAAATTTTTGGAACATTAACTCAAAAGTATATTCTAGATTTCTTTAACTATCTCTAGTGCTTTGCATCCATATGTAATTTCACAGTTACAGTGGAAAACCCTACTGAAGCCCTAGACACACAGATGTAGAAGTCAGCACACGACACGTGCATTGTCATACTTAAACAAGTAAGTCTCCCATTAAAAGCTAACTTCATAAATTCAGAGTATGACAAAAACCAGGAAAAAAGTCAAAAACAAACAGTGGGAGTGCTGTTACACATTG